TGTACCCAATTTGTGCAACTTCTCATGCTCTCACCTTTAAATTCTTGTAAATTTCCATTAAATCTTTTAATTTGTCCTCTTTGCTTTAATTTAAAGCTTCATCTTTTCTTGCCAATGTTGTTGCAGAGGACTCCTAGGTGCCTCTAGGTTTTTGCTTTTGTTTGAGATAGGGTCCCACTACATTTGCCCAGGCTGGTCTCAAGCGATCCTTCAGCAGGCCACCAAGAAGCTCAACTATAAAGGCAAACCACCAAGCCTGGCTTCCTTGCTAGTTTTTTTTTTTTTTTTTTTTGAGACGGAGCCTCAAGCTATCCCCCTGGGTAGAGTGCCATGGCATCACGCTCACAGCAACCTCCAACTCCTGGGCTCAAGCGGGTCTCCTGCCTCAGCCTCCCAAGTAGCTGGGACTACAGGCGCCCGCCACAACGCCTGGCCATTTTTTTGGTTGCAGCCATCATTGTTGTTTGACGGGCCTGGGCTGGGCATTCGAACCCGCCACCTTAGGTGTATGTGGCTGGCGCCTTAGCCGCTTGAGCCACAGGCACCGAGCCTTCCTTGCTAGTTTTAATCCATTCCAATTAGAATGAATTAGTAATTTACTTTTCTGAAGGTTGACATAAATATGTCATACTTTCTTAAAACTTCGGTTGGCTTCATCATATCTGGGATAGCAATCTAAGTACAACTACCAAGTAAGGCCTTCCACTATCTACACCACGCCCTTTCTGATATTATCTTCCTACTATTCTGCCTCAACCCTGTGGCTAAGCTCTGGCATATTTGGCATTACTCATATCACCATACCCACTCTTCCTTAAATTCTACTCAAAGAGATCTCTGTGACATTTTCTTTGCTTTCCCTACAGAGAGACACATGCAACTTTTGAGGTCCCCTGACGTCCTATTTAAGCATTGCTGTAACTTTAATGAGTCTGTGCCTACTCCCAAAAGCTGACATCTTTAAACCTCCTTTGTACAAAGCACAAAGGATTTTTCTCTAAGTAGTTCTTGGCCCCCTTCACTTTCTTTTTTTAAAGCCCCTTTCTTCTTTTTAAGATTCTATAAAAAAGCTTTTTTGATCTTGTCTATGCTTATCAGGACCCCTGAATAGAAGTGATTCAGGAAAGCTAGACTGAATATGAAGTTATTTGGCTTATATTTCCCTATTTTATTTTATTGAATCAGAGTCTCTCTTTGCTGCCCACTACACCCAGCCTATCCCTGTTTTATGAATGTTGAAGTGTGGTGTTAACAAAAATGGAAGTGTGTCTGAAAGAGGTCATTTAATAAATGTTAAAAAAAACTATGTGCTAATAAAATTGTTATATACATAATCCAAGTAATTCCCTCCCCCACACATGGTAAAATGATCTTTTCATATATATGGGCATATTAAAACAGGCCATATTAAAGCAATGCTTAGGGTGAAAGGGACCTTCCCCTAGTGTAGTTTCCTAGCTGACGTCCACTGACTCCTGGCCTTAGGAACCCACATATGTAAAATGCAAGAATTAGGACTACACTATGGTTCTAGAAAAGGAGGGTCCGTTGCTTTAAACAGATTTCTTGAGGGTTACCTTTCAAGGTTTTGTAGTCCCATGGTAATATATTTCATTTTGTATTTAATTTCATTCACCAAATGTTACTAGCTGAGGGCCTCCCAAAGTGCTAAGATTACAGGCATGAGGTACTGTACCTGGCCTGAACTAAAATATCAAATCCAGCAACTTCTTTTGCTATTAACTCACCTTAAACAAGGCCATGTTTTATGTTTATAATACAAGATAACACTATGTACATCCTAGCTACCCCCAAATGAATAATATTTGTAAAGTGTTATAAAGTCTCTGAAGGAATGTACTTGGAGAAATACTTAACAGGCTTAATTTTTTCCACTTTCCTAAATCAAACATATTTTTTTCCTCCCCGAAACTCTCCCTCTCTATATATATATGGCAAGAATTTGACACAGAACTAGAATATTTTCTTTAAAAAATTTTTGATGTAGTTTTGGGGGAACTAGTCTCACTACATTGTGGAGGGTGGCCCTGAACTTCCTGAGCTCAAGCAATCTTCCCACCTCAGCCACCCACATGGCTGGGACTACAGGTGTGTGCTGCTGCACTTCGCTGAATACCAAATACTTTCAACCTCTAACTTTGTAGCCCTGTACCTTTGCCTTATCCTGGATTTCCTATAGCGCTTTCTGTACTTACCCAATGCTATGCTTTCCTCCTTAACTCCTAACACATATTAGGTGATTACTGTATAACATGTTCTAAGGGCTTTATGTATGTTACTCCCATAATAACCCTATGAAGTAGGTATTACTATTATCACTGTTTTAGATGAAAAACAAAACTAAACAAAAAACCCCGAAGAGTAATCAAGTAATTTAGCCAAAGTCAGATACTAAGTGATAGAGCTGGGTTAGGAACCCAGTAATCTGCTCTTAACCACTGCTTTATGACTTCTCTAAAAGCATAATAGAATCATACAGATCAAGAAAATGAAATTCAGATTGACTAACTGGAAATTGCCATCATAATACCCAAACCAGTATTTTTTTTTTTACTGTATCAGAAGTGTAAGGTGAGGTGTACTGGCTCAGGCCTGTAATCCCAGCATGCTGGAAGGCTGAGGCAGAAGGATCCCTTCAGCTCAGGAGTTCAAGACCGGCCTGAGAAAGAGAATTTTCTCTACTAAAATTAGAAAAAACTATCTGGGTCTGGTGGCACATGCTAGTCCTAGCTACTTGGGAAGATGAAGCAAGAGGCCCAAGAGTTTGAGGTTGCTGTGAGCTATGATGATGCTATCAAACTCTAACCTGAGCATTAGAGTAAGACTCGATGTCTTTAAAAAAAAGAAAAAGAAAAAGAAAAAAGGAATGGCTTGGTGCCTATAGCTCAGGGGCTAGGGTGCCAGCCGCCTACACTGAAGCTGGCAGGTTCAAATCCAACCCAGGCCTGCCAAACGACAACTACAAGCAAAAAATAGCCAGGCATTGTGGTGGGTGCCTGTAGTCCCAGCTACTTGGGAGGCTAAGCAAGATAATCACTTAAGCCCAAGAGTTTGATGTTGCTACAACCTGTCATGCCACGGCACTCTACTGATGGTGACAAAGTGAGACTGTCTCACAAAAAAAAAAAAAAGGAAGTATAGGATTGGGTTATGAAGCCAAAAGGCTGGGTTGAAATCCTGGCTATGCCACTTAACAGCTATGTGACCTTGGTAAGTTACTTCTCTTTGCCACAGCTTCCTTATCTTTGAAATGTGGGTAACAGAATTTGCCACATTAGTTATGAGGAATAAAGGAAGTAAGTACAAATAAAGTATTCAGAAAAGTACCTGAGTAAGCATTTACAGCTTTTTTTATTTCTAACCTATTTATCAGAAAATAAAATAATTTGTCCTGTGTGCTACTCTGAGGAAGCAGGTGTAAACCAAAGACTGAGAGTGAGTGGTCAAATCAAGTTGGTTTGGGTTCAAATCAAAACCCCATGTCATTTTTTTTTTTTTTTTTGAGACAGAGTTTCATTATGTTGCCCTCGGTAGAGTACTGTGACGTCACAGTTCACAGCAACCTCAAAGTCTTGGGCTTAAGCAATTCTTTTGCCTCAGTTTCCCAAGTAGCTGGGACCAGTGCCTGCCACAGGCCTGGCTATTTTTTTGTTGCAGTTGTCAGTGTTTAGCAGGCCCAGGCCAGGTTCGAACCGCCAGCCTCGGTGTATGTGGCTGGAACCCTAACCACTGAATATAGGCACCAAGCCAAAACCCCATATCCTTTAGAAAGTCTGTCTCTCAGATTTCAACACCCTCCTTTGCGAGAGAACAGTGTCATCTCACAATGTTATCAAGGATCAACTGACACAAGGCAAGTGCTTAATATTAAACTACTCTGCATCATACACACAATTAAGACCTTTTTTGAGGTTTCCTTTACTAGTCCTCTCATTTTCTTTCCTGACATCCTTCTGAATATTTTAATATTTTCCGCTTACTATAAAGACCAAAGTAACTGTAAAGAAAAATGTAACTTCGTTAGCACTTCAAGTTGCCACTTACCTAGTAGTAACTACACCAAAGTTTTTAGTGAATGGAGTATGGGTTCAAACAGCAACCACTGCCAAGTCACCGGGAGAGAAGGGGAAATGGAATTCTTACCTTACTTACTACATGAAAACCTGTTAGAAAATACTTATAGTTGATGTAATTCAACCTATCTTTTCCTTTTTCTTTTAACTGAAATTCCTCTTCCCTCCTAAGCTTTTAAACCACACAGAATGTATGAAATCCATGTTAACACAAACCCCATGTATTAGTATCTTGCTCAAGAATGAAAGATAAGTTAGGGGCAGCACCTGTAGCTAAGTGCATAGGGTGCCTGCCAAACACACTGAGGCTGTCAGTTCGAACCTGGCCCAGGCCAACTAAAATAATGACAGTTACAACAACAACAACAAAAAAATAGCTGGGCATTGTGGTGGGCACCTGTAGTCCCAGCTACTTAGGAGGCTGAGGCAAGAGAATTGCTTAAGCCCAAGAGTTTGAGGTTGCTGTGAGCTGTGACGCCATGGCACTCTACCCAGAGTGACAGTTTGAGACTCTGTCACACACACCAAAAAAAAAAAAAAAAAAAAGGAAAGAAAGAAAGAAAAAAGAAAGGTAAGTTAGGTAAATGAAATGTGCTGGAACTATTTTACAGGTGACCTCGCAAATAAGACTGTTAAAGGTGTAATCTTTTTGTGAAATTCTACGTTCTAAGTTTGACAAACGTTCCACAACTAGCTGTGAAGTTTTCTTATGCTAACATATGACAGAATATTGGAGAACTTTTTCAATACTATCTCTTTTCTCACGGACCTTCCCATTGCTCCACAACTCTCAGTATGACCTTAATATAGGACAAATAAATTGAGCAATAACTCAAACAAATCTCCCTGTTGATAAGAATTTTTAAAATTTAACCTTAGGTATTATATATTGATACAATCACTTTTGTTAAGAATAACAATTTATTGACCTAAAATTATTGCCAAATACCTTAAACTATGTATAAACACTTCATTTAAGTTTAATGCTCTTTTTAACTCCAGCACGAATGCCAGATAATTCACCAGTGTAACGTTGCTGTTCTCTACGAACTTCTCGAACCTGGCCTCGTCTTCGAATTTTGGCTCTTCTGAACTTCTCCCTGTGTTTCACTCTGGGATTGCGATCAATCTTCTTTCTCCTAGGAGTAAGTCCCCTATTTTTAGCAATCTGATAGGTAATGGCTCTCTTTGCATTTTGATCTTCAAGAACTTGTTCTTCAGCACTATTCTCTTCTTTCTTCCTCTTCAACTTTTGTCTATCTTCTATTTCTTTATATTGCAGTTCAGTCCCTTCATCAAAATCAGAATCATCAATCAGATCTCTTACAGCAGAGGCAGCAGCAGCAGCAGCAGAAGTCTTTGAAACAGACTTTGGTTTGGCTTTGGTGGATTTTGCTTTTAGATTCTGTCCTTTCTTTACAGCACCATCCTTAAATGTGAGTAGACTACGAATTTCTGAGGATAGTTTCTGATCCACAATTGACAGTTTGTTGATCAGATTTCGGTAGGTAACCAGTCTTTCTATGACAGGATGTCCATGTGCAGGGACTCTCCTAGCTTTCAGGATCAAATAGAAACTGATGTTGGAGCAATAATTCAAGTACAGGTTGTACTTGGTCGTTAAGTACTGGCTTCCTCTTCCGGGTGGAATGATCCCTTGCTCCACCAACTGTAACAAAGGCTCCAGCTCATCCTTCACTTCTGTCAACTTAACTTTAAGGTCTTCTATCAGCTCCAAGAGCTCTGGTGATTCCTTTCGCAACATTTTCAGCTTCTCTTTCACTGAAATTTTAGCCAAATCTTTAACGACCCGTGTCTCAGCCTCATCTACCTGAGACACAGGTTTTGCAAATGCTTCTACCCACTCGACCCCAAAATCATCCTCATGCAGGGCCTGGGCCAGGCGCCGCTGAATGACCTGTGCCTCCGCCTCTTCTTCTCTTTCCTCCTCCTCCACTTCTTGTTGACTCTGCCGGCCTCGGGCCTTGGAACCATAGTCCGTGTCATAGTAAAGTTTTTTCCTCTGTCCCCAGGACAAACTGGGATCAACAGAAGCCTCGGCCTCACTCTGCACGGAGCTCCCACCATCACCATCATCATCACTAGCACCATCCTCCTCATCCCCCGCACTCTCTCCATCTTCATCGTCTACATCTAGGGCTAGCACCTCTTCCTCATCGCCATCCTCCTCGTCTCCACTCTCTACTTCGTTCCAGCCCTTATCCAAAGCGGCCCGTGATCGTGCCTCGTGAAAGTCATCTACCTGATCCTGGTAGTAGCTGGAGTCCCCTGGTGAGGGTGGCGACCCTACATCATCCTCATTTCCGTCCGCGGGGGTACGACCTGCGTTGGCTCGCACAGCTGCCCACTTGGCTGCTCCGCGCCGCCGGGATCTCCCCACCATGGTTCGCACGGCGAATCAGACTCTACACACACACCACACTTCTGGCCGCCTCTGACCCTGAAGAACCAACCGCGAGGCCCAGAAACACGCCGTCTAAACACACGCGAGCTTGCGGCCGCGGGAGCCGGCTGCAGGAAGTTTCCACCTCCTTCCGGCCCCCAGTATGCTCTGCGCAGGGAATGGGAACCGGGACTTCCGCTCAGTCAGAGAGGCGCGGCCACAGTGATATTGCCTTACCTTTCGCTATGCCCTTTAACGCCAATCAATTCGGTGAATTAAAATCTTTCCGTGTGGGAACAATAGGTTAGAGAAGTTCCGTTCCTTCAAACCCTTTACTGAGATTTCAGCTCTGTATCTTGAGCCTGGGAGTGGCTGAGGGACAAACTCCTGACGCACCGCGGCCGAGGTCACGGGGGCCAGTAGAGGACGCTGTACTTCTGTGTCGGGAGAAGTCCCGGTGCGGGCTGGTGAGCTTCACTGCGCATGTCCTGGGCGCCTGCGCGTTGTAGCCGGCGCTTCGGGTTTTTTGCCAAATAAACTAAATTTTTCTTTTCTCTGCTTATTACTCTGGAAGTTCATCAGATAGTTGTTCTCCTTTTGATTTTTCCCGCAGGAACGTCCCAGTATGGCACCGCACCTGGGGTGGCCGCGGGTCGGCCCAGCTCGGCGTTTCCCTGTTCTGCCCTGGTGGCCTGGTCTGCGGGGATGGGAAAGCCCCGGTGGCCCCGAGCGGTGGCGGCGGGAGGCTGGGCCCGCAGTCGTGTTGCCACTTGCCAGGGAACTCGGGGGGCCTCCAGGTTGTGTGGTGGCGACGGGGAAAGGCGCCGCGGTCCCGCTTCGTGTGCGTGGGAGAGGCACGCTCCTTAAGATCTCGGGAAACGACACATTTGCACTCAGGGGCGACCCGTTTTATTTATTTATTACGAGACAGTCTCACTACGTCGCCCTCGGCGGAGTGCTGTGGTGTCACAGCTCACAGCAACCTCAAACTCTTGGGTTTAAGCCTTCTTCTCTTGTCTAAGCCTCCCAAGTAGCTGGGACTACAGGCGCCCACCACGACGCCCGGCTATTGTTGTCGCAGTTGTTATTTAGCAGGCTCGGGCCAGGTGCGAACCCACTGGCCCTGGTCGGTGAATGTGGCTGGCGTCCTAACCACTGGGCTACGGGCTCCGAACCTATTTCTTAAGTCTTAAACATTGATTTCTGTGTGCGAGGCAGCGTGTTTGGGTTCCGGGAAGACAGTGGCCGACAGACACCGTCCCTGCGGGGCCGCGCTCGCCACGGGACCCACAGAGCGCGGAAGGGCAGCTGGTCAGGGCGTGGGCGGGCCCGCAGCGCGTGCGTGGTAGCCCGCCTGCAGCCTGAGGACGCGGGCGGTGCCTTTGCAGGTGCCTTTGGACACTACGTGTCCCCTAAAAATGGTTTATTACTTCCATCCAACCTTGGGGAACTGCTGCTGCCTGCGGGAGACAGCGTAAGAATTGAGGCTTTAATCTCTTTAAACTCCCTTACTTACCTTTCCCTCTTTTCTTTCATATCACGTATCTCTACAAACGCTGGTATTTCAAGCACCTCGTACAGTGCTTGGCACAGACTAGGTGTCGAATCAGTATTTGCTTAGTGAATACGTATCGAAATTACTGTGCAGTTCCCTACTTACAATGTTTTGACTTAATTTTTTTTTTTTTAACTTTAAGATGGTAACCAAAAATGCTAGGAGTATGCTACTGGACCTATGATGGGGCTGCTTCCAGGCAAACCCATCATAGGTCCATTTCAAAAATACATTCAGGTTGGTAGCAGGGGCTCAGCCTGTAGTCCTAGGACTTTGGGAGGCCCAGGTGGGAGAATCACTTGAGGCTTGAGATCAACCTGAGCAAGAAGGGGAAGGCTCCTGTCCACGAAAAAGAGACAAATTAGTCTAGGATTGTGGCAGGCACCCATAGTCTCAAGTACTGGGGATTGCTTGAACCCAGGAGCCTTGGGATGATGAGGTCACTGTACTCTATCCCAGGAGACAAAGCAAGATTCTGTTTAAAAAACAAAAAAAGCTACCCACTTATTTCTTTATTATTATTTTTTGAGACAGAGCCTCACATTGTTGCCCAGGCTAGAGTGCCATGGAGTCAACCTAGCACACAGCAACCTCAAACTCCTAAACTCAAGGGATCTTTCCTCCACCTCCCGGGAGTGCTGGGATTACAGGTGTGAGCCACCATGCCAGGCCAGACCTTATGCACTTTCAATTTAGGACATTTGTCAATTTATGATGGGTTTATGGGGAGGTAGGTGAACTCATTGTAAATCAAAGAGCATCTGCATTTGATTACCTGTCTCAAGTGCTACATGAAGCTGAGTGAGTGATACATATGGCTGCAGACATCTCTAAGGGAGACAACCTGAGCTGGAATGGATTTCAGGAATCATTAGCCTCAAGTGCTTTGATTTTATACATGTGGAAACAGATTGGGGGAGATTACACTTCCAGATCTGGCACAGAAACTGAGGGCAGAGTTTCCACACCAGGCATTCACATTGAGCTGATAGTAGTCCTTTGCCCTTTTGATGTAAATGTTTTGGGGTTTTCCCAGGAGCGTAGGTATTGCTGGGTGGATAAGAAAAATCCAAAGCACAGATTAAAGGCAGTAATAAGGAAAAAATTAGTCAAATTGGTCTCTAAAAGTATTATTAGGCTAGATGCTTTGTAATCTTGGAGTAATTCAAGGTGTAAGTTTCAGAAATTACATATGAACGGTTCAGAGATTGTGTGTATATATACACAGAGAGAGAGGAGGGGGAGAGAGATGGAGTCTCTGTCACGTTGCCTAGAGTGCCACTGCATCTTCATAGCTCACAGCAACCTCAAACTCCTGGGCCCAAGTAATCCTTCTGCCTCAGCCTCCCAACTAGCTGGGACTACAGGCACCTGCCACAACGCCCGGCTAATTTTTCTGTTTTTTTAGTAGAGAGGGGGGTCTCTTGCTCAGGGTGGCCTCAAACTCTTGAGCTCAAATGGTCCTCACACCTCAGCCTCCCAGAGTGCTGGGATCACAAGTGTAAGCCACCATGCCCAGCCATCTTACTGACATTTATTTCCAACTCTTCGTAGTGCAGTGTGATGGACT